ATCCATCCATCCATCCATCCATCCATCCATCCATCCATCCATCCCTAAAATAAGAGGTCTTGTATTGCCAAATAACTTACTTGCACATCTTATTTGTCATTGCACTGTCGGAAAGGTCGGCCATAAATAAAGTTGCTTTGATGTATAATTAAAATCTGATCTGAAGTTAAGTGATCACTGAAAATTTTTGTTTTAAAAAATAAGAATCTTGAATATTTTGGACATGAAAAGAATTTAGAAATCATTACACTCCTGACAACTGAAACATGAGCATAAGGCATACTTCTGAAAACATCCAAGGGTATTTAGGTTCAAACGGCAGCTTTAGACATCTGAAAACATTTTTTTTAGGGGTTTTTGTCTAGATTACAAATTGCCAGATTCATTTAAATTTTCTCATTTTTTATACATGCGTGCAGGGTGGATGGGGATTGTAAGCTTGCAGATTTGTAACAATTATGCTGCTGTACATTCATTGCTAACAGTACTTACTATGGTCTAAATCGTCAGTGTTTCTGTGATGACAGGAGACCTGAATTCTCCCAGACAGTCAGATTGTACATACTTGGATGTGGCTATCAAAGGGGAGTTGCATTAAAAAGCCAACTAAACCCAAAACAATGCAGTACCAGCGTGACTCTCTTCTGTTCTAGTAAACTGCATGTCTTAATAATCTGCAACCATTCAAATTTTAGCATTTTGCCTTTTTTGTTAATCAGAGTTGAGTTAAAAAGGAGAGCTGACCAAGAAAATGAATGTTCACACTGTATGAGAAGATAAAGAGACATTGATATCAGTCTTATTTTATGTTTGATTGCTTTTTTTTCTTCTTTGTGACTGTGTTGAATGATATTGGCCTTTGGATGTGTTTAACTTTTGTTGAATATTGTAGCATCTATGATTAAAATACACAAAAACCAAAGTGTTTATTTTGTCTGTGTTTGTGTGGACAACGTTATGCTGACTGACGTTCTGAAGAAAGGCAGTTCTGCATAAATACACTTACCAAAATGAAAGTCCTTAAATGTGTGGAAATACTAACTTGTGTGCTAAAAGACTATGAGGTACATCATTTTATCCGATAGTCAAATAAATACATAGATGAATTGGTTATGCTCTTTAAAAGACCTCTATTTATTGGCAGTATGATGACTAAAAGCCAACCTAATAAAAATCTCAAAGTTTGTTTCTTGGAAAGTTTATATATGACATCAGAAAAAAAGGATTTCTTACCCAGAAATGCAGGCTACATGAAAATAGTGCTGATTTTATATATATATATATATATAGATATAGATATATCTATATAGATATATAGATATATCTATATATAAACAAAAAAGCAATTAAAATTCAGCAGGAATCAAATTCTAGAAGATTGTCACTCAATAAAAACAATGTAAGTAATAAAATGTTATTTCAAAAGTTTCTTTTGCAGACATTAATAAATGTTCAAAGTGCCTCACAACAAACCAAGTAAAACGGCAAACATATTAAGTCAAATCCTCTCTAAATGAAAATTTCTTTAGTGATTCCTTATACTCTGTGAAGTATATGCAGCATAAAGACAGTAAGAGAACAATCCAAAACCTCAGATCCACTGTCTAAAAAGCTCCTATTACATGATACAAGTCTAAACAATGTTTTAAGTTACATTTTAACTGCTGCAATGTAATTTAGTTTTGCAGAAAATTATTTTTCTGCATTGCAACCGCTTACAGAAGAGAGGAAAATAAGATTGCAATTACAATAGAGCAAAATGAAGTATTATGTAATAAGACAGAATAAGATAAGTAAAATTAAACCATTCCCATATAAACTGTGTAAAATAATATCTAGGAATAAGATTAAGATCTCAGTATATACAATAAATGGTATTTACAATTTGCAATGCAGTACTTAAATTGCTATTATTGCACATGACTGTGTTATTGCACATTGTGAAGGTAAAGTAATGAGAGGGAAAGTCCATGACAATACAGACCAACATCTAAGTTGATTTGTTAGGAGAAAACCTTTTCTCTGTAGAAGGAATACTGTGGTATGACTTTGGCTTTGTAAATTGCCTTTAACATTATCACCTAACATCACAACCCATTTTGCACATATGTGCAAAATATGTCTTTTGCACATAGAAAAGCAGAGTACACATATATGCCCATAATCTAATTAGGGTTTATGATTTGGAATTGTTATTTCACTTAGCTTATTGGTTCTTTAAAGTCACTCAGTAGACCATGTACTCCTTGAAGAAAGATTCTGGAGTCGAATGTGAGGAGATAGAATAGAATAGAATAGAAAATCCCGGAATTGTTCCACAATAGGGAAATCTGGTATTTACAGTAGCAAAAAGATTATAGAAAAAAATGATGACTTAGAAAAATCAATAAGCATAACACAATAAGACATGTCTGACACCTGGCTAAAGGTAAATGACACAAGAATTTACACACAATAAAGTCATCCTGAGAAAACAAAGATCTTTAGATACTGCTGCCAAAAATGTTTCTAATATTTATTAAATGGTGGGGGAGAAGGGGTGAATTAGAGTTTTCACATACAACAATCTTTTTTACATTTCCTTTAAAGAAGTGATCGAAGTGGAGAAACTGTTGCTGTTTTTTGTAAACTTGAGGTGAAATTAAGATTATTTCAGAGCCTAAAAAAGCCCAAATGTGTTTTTATCATGGATTTAATGCACAAAATCACATAATTTATAGAGGGTGGACTTTCTTTTTACCTTGAGAAACAAAGCAAAGCAATTGATAGCGGGTCACTATAAAGAAAAAACAACCAATTAACTTTGAACAAATACAATTTCAATCACAGAAATTCATGTGAATTGATCTATGTATTGATCTTGATGTATCATCAGACTACCAGAATTTAACCTTTAAGAAACACTATGAGATTTTCAAAGGAATTTTCAAAGTATACAATATTTAATACTAAGGAAGAATTAAAATATAAGAAAGAGGACATTTTTTTAAAACAAAAAGGTCAATTGTTTGACATTTGAACCGAAATAAACCAGTTCTAGAGATCTAAGTTTTGAACTAACTAAAATAAATCCACTTATTCATGAACTGAGATGTATCTGCCTTTGTTTGAAATGACTTATAGGCTCCGCTCCGCACTGTTATTAGCAGTCAATGAGATCACGCTAAAAGGAAAGCTTCATTCATTGTGTGGAGCTCTATTATCGCGATATCTCACATTGGAGGTCTCGCGGGATTTGAGGAGTGTGGCCCTCTCTAGAAGGTGTGCTTCATGGCGGTTACGAACACTGCGGTAAATACATTTTGCAATTAATAAACATTCTTGTTGAGGTTCCTTTACCCCCGTTATTCATTGAGTAAGTAAAGCGCAGTGTTTTTTATATTGCATTTGCACCTATTTACATGTATCTGGATTGGAGAAAAAAGAACAAAGATTGGTTTACGCGCCATAGCAACGTGAGCTAATGCTATATCTGCTGCTAGCAACAAAGACATCCTTAGCGGAATACAAATCAGGCATAGCTAAGTGTTTTTCATTCCGTAATGATTTCTAGTGATATTTTTAAAAATAAAGACTGAAGTAATACGCTTTTTATGTCGTTTCAAATCCCCTTTCTATAAAAACTCAAGGTTAACATTAGCTTGCTATAGCTAGCCTGCATTTCTAGCGTATGTTAGAATGGAAATCACGTTTAGAGATCCTACGTATCGTGTGAACTGTTAGAAATACGAACAACTACACATGAATCATTCTGAAGTTGATGAGAGCTGCCTGTTTTAATCTCTACTCTTAGTCTAAAGGCATCTTTTATTTCCTCCTATAGAAATTGTTGAGTTTTTAAAGCTTCCCCATCAGTCTTCTTCCCCTTGGGGGCTTTCCTGTCTCAGTCTGGTGGACCCAGCGGTTATAGTGTTGCGTAAGTAAGGAGCTCATCCAGGTCCACCTGGTTTAAATCCGGGTGTTGGTCCATAACTTCTTTTCACTTACTATAAACTGTGCTGAAATCTCTGCTTTTTGTTGTTGCTGGGGAAACTTGAATTGTTTCTTTACAGTTATGATAGGCTTATTGCACAATCGCTGCGGATTCCAGTTTATTAGTTTGATCCTAATGTGTCCATTTTTAAATTACAGGGAGGTGAAGCCCTGACGATGGAGAATGGACAAGGCACAGGCTCCAAGCTTGGCCTGCCGCCTCTTACTCCAGAACAACAGGAGGCACTTCAGAGGGTAAGAGGTTCCTTCATCTGATGTCAAATCAGTTTTTCACCTAATGAAAGAACTAATGGCAAACTACAAGCATACACAATTTTTGTTTTGCCACTGAATTAGATTACAGGTTTGTAAATGGGTTGTAATACACTAAGTAATGCAATATAGATAGCATATAATGTATACATTCTTTTGTTTAGCATTTTAATTTGGCTCAATTTCATTAAAATATATCACAGCCTGTTAGCAGTGGAGGGTTCGAGTGAGGGCACTGAAATAACCTTCCCATGTGCAATCAGGGGCTTCTGAGATTTTATTTCTGCATGTCCTCCTTTTAAACCAATTCTGCTGCTAAAGCTGTACAAATGATTATTACAATTTTATAATTTTCAATAGAAAATCCTTTTATTGTCCCATGGTGGTGAAATTGTGGTGTTACGGCAGCAAAAGTATTACAGCAAAAGTGGTCACACAAATGTGGACCTTTAAAAGTGTATAAAAAAAACAGAATAAGTTGCAGAGTTACAAAATAAACAATGAAATATAGTTCTGTATAGTGATTGTATAGATATAAATAATGTGCAGTCACCCGAAGAGTACATAATCAATATACCGCTGTGGCCATTTTTACAGTAGTGGATATGGGAAATGGCAGAAACACCAGAGATGTGTAAAATGACAGCAACTTCAATTCAAGTTGACAGAAACTGCATAAAATCAGCATGGATGTAACAACTTATTGAGGTTGTTAGGAACAATTTGCTTTGAGTATATTGACTTGATACATAAATTGAAATGCACAATAAGTTTAGTGTTGTTTTAGATAATTTTGTGCAGATTATTTAATTTTTTTGGTGTGAGGGATTGCTGTTGAGTCAATGAGTAAGGTTGCAGTCTGCTGGTTTTCCTCAGATAGAAAATAAAAGCGTTAAACTAATCTAGCTGTGTGATCGGATTAGATTGGATGTGTAAAGGACTTGACGTGTGGTGAAGTGACACTATTTAAATGTAATTATGTCTGATATATTTAAAATAATGGACGCGAAACAACCTGATAATTAGCTTGTTGTTAAGTTGTGCTGCCAGCCTGCACGTGCCTGCTTAAGAGTGGTCAACTGCGGGTTTAAATGGATCTTCAGTCTTTAAGCTGTGACTAAAACTGTTTCCCCCCGCTGAAATGTTTTCAGATACTGTAACAAGGCTTTCATTTTGAGGAGGAACATTTTTAAGTTATCCTCTTTTTATTTGCCTTCCATCTAACAGTGTTGAGCAAGGGGTGCACAGAGGAGCAGCACTGCACTACTGTGTGCTGCATGTGGCCATATAAAACTCTTTGTGTGTGATGGATCGGAATAGTAACAAGTAAAATTATTAATGGTCTCTCTGCTGCACTGTTATTAATGCTGAGTGATGTTTATGCACAGCCTGTCTCTTCAGATTTGCAGACTATTTATTTTTAAATGGGAGCATTTTAATCCTTGTCTCGACCCATGTTAGTTTATATTATAATATAGTGATCTACCAAACTATATTTTGAAACATTGTTATCCGAATTTCGTTTTTAGGGTTAGAATTGCACAGGGATCTTTGTGGAAAAAGAATAAAGATTAACATGTTTCTCTGAAAATATGTATTTAGTAAATAACTTATCTTTAAAATTACACTATACTTGTACATGTTATATCTTGTCTTCTGAATCCTTTTAGGTGTTTCTTTCCTGTGTTATATTTTGCTTCTCTATTTCACCCTCTTTAGCAATTGAAAATGATACGAGCACAAAAATGAAATGACTCAGCTGCATCTGCTTGGTTATTATAGGCAAACATCTTTGGCATTATGAGGGCAGCAGTCTAACGGGGAAAGAGCACAACTTTTGTGCAAGAAAATCTATCAGCAACCCAGTGACGGCTTCTAGCTTAGAATGTTTTAGTTTTGTAATCAAATGCTGCAACAAGATGTTTACAATAAGAGACCCATGATGTTTGCATCTAATTTTAAGAGAAGCAAACTGCCAGTAATGTTTAAAAAGCTGAATATTACCCTTAGTGCATTTAAGCAGAGTCCTCCAGGGGTTATAAAGTCAGAATTTTACCTTTTGTAGACAAGAAACTCAAGTTGCCTGAGATAAAACTCTCCCCTTTTCTCCTATCTCCTTCATTCTTTTGTGTAAGACTTCTGCGTATGATGGAAATATTTACATTTTTATTTGTGTTTGGTTAGTGATGATGGTAATCTAAGGTATTACTTTGCTCCTTTCCCAGGCGAAGAAGTATGCCATGGAGCAAAGCATTAAGAGTGTGTTGGTGAAGCAGACCATTGCACATCAGCAGCAGCAGCTTACTAACCTTCAGGTGAGATATTAACAGCTTTTTTTCCCCCTCCTATCACTTGGTAATGTGCCGTATCATCAGTGAGTTTTGATTCTTGACAGATTACCTTAAGCTGTCCATGCATGAGTAACTCTGGCCTATCGGGTTAGGGTTAGTTCTCCCAGAGGGTCTGCTCTCCTGACCTCCCACGTGCTGTAAAAAAAAAAAAATTAAAAAACAAACAACCGAAAAAAGAAGAAAAAAAAACCACAACATGTGTAGACCATCTGCCTCTGCTTTTTTTCAGATGGAGATGATCGTCCTGAAGGCTTTGGTTATCATGTTGTATGCTTTGCACTTTCAAAGGGGCCGTGCTTTATCTGCTGTGTGGTGAATTATTAAATTAGGGATGGGAGGTAAATCCTCTGAATGTTTTGCTGTTTAGAGGGAGGGTCTGCATATGGTGTTAGCTTAACCGCTTTTGTCTGTCTAGCCGAGCAATGACCTTTCTTGCAAAAGCAATAGCTAAAGGGGTATCTAACAGACTTTTCAGCACTTTTTTCATCTTTACTGTCTTTCAGATGGCAGCAGTGACAATGGGCTTTGGAGATCCTCTCTCACCTTTACAATCGGTCAATAGATCATTAAATTTTTTTTTTCTTGTCCGCATTTCCAGTGGAAAAGGACTGTTACCCTTCTTTTACCGGTTGCGTTGGCAACAATCCCTGCCTTTTTAATCTGACCGAAGAATGCATATTTTATAAGGAAACATTGCTTTCTGCAGCACCTGTCATTGCACCCATGTCTGCAGCATTTGCGATGAATGTCCCATTTGTGGAAGCTCTCATTTGCTTTGCTTTTTTTATTCTTTTCCTTCTGCTCTAGCACTTTTTAAATCCAATATCTAGCTTGAACATATTTTTATTTTTTATTGAAGTTCCTAAAGGGAGAAAAGGCACGTCTCTTTGAAAAATATGCATTTCTTGTTTTGAAAACAGCTCCTGGCAGGAGACAAAAGAGGGATAGCAATCCCTTTATGGACCAAAATGAGAGAACTTCTGTGTCAGGGATCTTTTTTTTTATTTTTGTTTTGTTTTGCCATCTCAGTGTGAAGCTTTTTCTCGGTGAAAAAACAAGTCATCTACTCGTTATACTGTAGAATAGCAGACAGAAAACTCTGCTGGTATACAATGATATTTCAGAAGCAGATGAAAAGCTAAAGTCATCAGTTAAATACAAAGAGTTCCCCCCAACTTAGACTCGAGAAGAAAATTCCAAGACTTTTGTTTGGATTTCTTTTGAACACCAGAGTTACTTTTTGTTACCTTACTTGCATCCCTGGAATCCAGGTCAGTTACCGAAGCCAAATATTTGTGAGGGCTGTGCATGTCGATCACCTCTGTGTGTATTTTGCCTCCATATCTCAGTACGTAACAACACTAACAGATGATAAACCAAATTTTAATAACTTCAGGGGACACCTGTCAGACAACTTGTGATTTTTATTTTTTTGTCCCCAAAAAGAGCTATCCCTGTTGATCAAAGTTCCCAGTTTATACTCCCATTTATCTGTTCAGGTCTCCCCAAACTGAGAATTGGCCTTTGACAATTGTTTGGGGAAAACACGGCCATTAGAGCAGGCAAATTTATCTATATACTTTGTGCGTGTGTGTGTGTAGATGTCAATATACATTTCTTTTACTCTCTAATGCTTATTGTGTGTTATTTCCTCCTGACTGGCAGGTGGCAGCTCAGCGGCAACGGGCGCTGGCGATTATGTGTCGGGTGTATGTGGGTTCCATATACTATGAGCTCGGAGAGGACACCATCAGACAGGCCTTTGCACCCTTCGGCCCGATCAAGAGCATTGACATGTCTTGGGATTCAGTTACAATGAAACACAAGGTCTGTGTCTTTTAGGACATGGTTTAATTGGATTCTGATCTTTTTCTTGTTTTTGGCACACTGCAACCAGAAACTGAAATATAGGGCTGTAAAACAAAGTGGAATGAAATAGGGCTATAATATATTATTGAAATAATCAACTAATTCAGTATTCGATTAATCGTTAACTGGAGTATAGAGACTATAAAACATGCCTTTAGCTTCCAGAGCGACCAACTTATAGCAGTAATTATAACAAAATTGTAAACTATATATATATATGTGTTTATGGATTTTATGTCGTGTCTCTAAGTGTAGGGTGTACGTGTTAAGAGGTGTGTATGGGCGTGTGTGGGTGGAGCTGTAAGTGGGTGTTGGCATGTGTCTGGAGCCGAATGATTGTTTAATGAATATCACCTGGATCTGCCCTGGGGGTTGATTGTTTGTTTGATTCAGAGAGAGGCTAAGGCAGGGTGCCAATATTTCTGTTGACCGCAAGTTTAAAGCTAATGAAGTCTGCAAGTCTACCTGTTGTACAATGCTTTACAGAAAAAGGGTACAATAAACATCCCTAACTGCAGTAAAGCTTTACATTTCCTCCTTGGATTCAGCGCTTCAAACAGATCCCTGCTCTCCTCTTTGTGACTAATTTTTGGATGATAGTCAGTTACACACATACATAAATATATATATCTAAATTCTGTGAAAAGATCTTTAAGGAACTTTTCGCTGTCTGATTATTAATTGATTAATCGAAAAAAATACCCAACAGATTAATTGATTATCAAAATAATTGTTAGTTGGAGCCCTAGAATACAAACCAAACTATAAAGTCTATGTTCTATTTAATGCCCCTCATCAATGCTTTGTTGATTGTTCTTGTTGCAGTTAAACATATGAGTGCTGGGGTATGCCTATTTGAGCTTTAGATACCAAGAGACAAAAATGTTAGCTCATTCTTCTTAATCAGATGGCATTGAGAGCTGCATTACCCCAGATAAAGTTTGGACTTTAACTGGTGTTTTAAAATAAATTAGCTTTAATCAAGACTACTAATTTTTTGTTTTTGCGTTAACTTGTCAGCAGGTTTTCAGCTGCTCCATATTCATTCCATTAGCTGCTTTAAACTTCTCCATGACTCTTTCCCAGATTGACGTCTTGTGTTCCTGGGTCTTTGCAGTGGTTTTTATTTACTGATCTTCTCCAACAAACCTCTCAGGCCTTTACTGCTTCTACTTCACTGGCATAGCTCAAGATGCAAATCGCTGTATTTTATGTAGGGTTATCAGTGTAAAGTTGCATAATAGAAATGCACAGGTTTTGCAAAAAATTGTTCCTAGATTTTCATTTCTAGAAAAGTTGCAAACCTTTACTGCTGATTGGAAATGCAATATAAGATTTATAGCAAGGTTATCGTTAATCTAATGAAAAGATAAAAACGTGAATCAGAAAGCATTTTAACTGATATAAAAAAAACTGGACTTTGCAAAAAGAAAACTAACTGAAACCGTAATAATAGTGTACAAACTAATTAAACTAACTGAATTTAGACAGAGAATGTGCTTAGTTTTCGTTTACGTCTTTATTATAATGCATTAGCATGAGGTGTAGTTTCCAGTTGCTGTTTCGCTGTACCTCATTACGCGAATAAAATGAGCAGTACATCAGTCTGGTCATCTTGTGTTGCAGTGATTTGTCCTTATCTGGGATTTTCTATCTTTTATTTATTTTATTTTTATTTGACCCGAGTATTTAAGTCGTATTTCATAAAAGACTGAACTTTTAACTTATATGAATAGAAACTTAACTGAAGCTAAGCACCTTAAAAAAAAAAAAAAAGAACTAAATAAATTGGCTAACAAATAATAAAAACTTGAAAGGGAAATGAAAATCTGAAGTCAAAACTGAATTAAAATAAACTTTTTTTCTAAAACTATTTAAACCTTGTTCTGTAGTCTGGTTCCAATAAAATGCAAAAGAGTTTATAGTTAAAACATATGACAGAGTGAGGAAAAGTTCAATGGGTATGAATGCTTTTGCACCTTGATGCTGAGTTGTATTTGGTGTTAAATCAAACGGTGTTTACATGTGCAGGGCTTTGCCTTTGTGGAGTATGACGTGCCAGAAGCTGCTCAGCTGGCTCTGGAACAGATGAACTCGGTCATGTTAGGCGGACGAAACATTAAGGTGAGAAGCTTAGAGAGATGAGATTATCTCTGACAACAACACAACTCCACAGTATTTTGTTTTCCCTTTTGCTTCGTTCAGCATTAAGGTGTTTTAATTATTGATTTTTCTACCTTGTCAACATACTTTAGTTTCAAATGGTATTAATTACAAGAATAAAATTCCTATTTCTGGATGTGATCTTTTCATATATGTATATTCCAGTAACATTTCTCATTCTTTGTTTGCAACATCATGATGTACAACTTTGATCAACTTTTTTGTTTAGTTTAAAAGTTTATACGAAGATAAATTAGATATTTTTTGGTCCCTAATGTAGACATATGACGATAAGACCATGGAAAGGTTTGCTTTTCTTTTTGGTCTGTTTCTGTGAGTTTTGGTTTGGTAGGTAATGATACCCAACAGGACACATGTATTATGCTCTTGGGTCAGGAAACACTTTTGATTACTGCTTTTGGAAATTCATATAGTCAATGTTTGTTTTTCTGTTGTAAGGTGTGAACAATCTAACTCTTCTCCTTGTTTAATGTCTTTCTGTTTTTCACAGGTACGTGTTGTATGTCTGTAGTATGAGGTTTGTGTGTGTTGCTCTTCCAAGATGTCCTGGTAGCTTGTTTAAGTGAGGATTTGCAGTGAGATGCCCAGGGGTGCGTGAACTCTCTCTGCTACCAAGTTGTGCTGATGATGGACTGCGCCTGGGTGGTGTTAATTGGCCGCCTCATCTGTTGTACAGATTCCACTTAGACGCTCGTCTCTTTGTGAAAACATTTGCGTATCGTGTCGCAACTGAACTCCATTCAGTTTAGTGTTACTTTAGTTGCTTATGAATAATATAAAAAACCTACAGTGCATGAGCTAGTCTTGGTAACTTACGTCTATGTAAACGTATGTCTTTTTTTAATGTATCTTCTATAGAAAATTAAGATTACGGCTTAAAGTTGATATAAACCCAAAAATTTGTTTCTGAGAAAATCAAAATCAAAAGCCCCTTTCACACCTTGATGATTTAAACAGTGTATGCCTGAGGTATGCCATGCATTTGATAAGTTATGGGATAAGTTATGAAGCACACTGGCACACATTGTTATAGGGCAAGTGTATGCTCAAAATTTCCCAACGTATGCCAGAGTATGCAATATGCGGGCCATAAGTTACAGGTGAGTTATTTGATCTATTGACATGCGTTAAGTGTAAGTTACTCATAAGTTGTGTTTAGCTTATCCAAAACCATAGTAACTTGTGCATAACTTATGAGTGACTTATCAAGAACTGATCTCCAACACAAATCAATGTATTTGACGTGTTCCAGACGACCGTAGAACTTGTTTCTAACTTACAGCTACTGTATAATGGCGTATTGGCAGCATAAACACAATCAAAGCTTGCTCAGGACTTTAGCATTAAAGTGAAGTTCTGACTTGTGCTACTCTTTGCCCCTTATTAATCCCAGCCAAACTCTGGAATGGGCTTTAATTGCATTAATCAGAATGCCATATCAGGTTCCTTTTATTTTATTTTTTCTTCTCTAAACTTTCAATTTGTGTGCTTAGATGCAACAGTCTTTGAACTTGGCTTCTTCCACTATGACATATTTTTTTGCTTACCAAGCTGCCTGCTAGATAACCGTCTCATGTAATAAGTCCCTTTTCTTTAGTGGTCTGAAGGAGTAGCCAAACTTTCTCTGAAGTTGATCTTTGGGTTTTTATTAACCTTTAGCCATAATCGTCTATATAAGTGGTTCCCTATCCTGCTCCTCAGGGAGCCCTGTCCTGTGTGGTGGGTTTCTGCTTGGTAACACACACCTGACTTAAAGGAACGGCTGCCGAGCTGGTGCAATCATTTAAATCAGGTGTGCTCAAGCAGAGACTCATCTAAAACAAGCATGGCTGGGGTAACTGAGGACCAGCTTTGGGACCCAGTATTAGTGAAAAAAAATAAACTTTAGAAAGCACTCTTGCATGTAATTTCACTGAAGCGAGTGACTGAAATGAACCTGTTCCCATAGACTTTTGCGTTAGTGCGTTTTCCATCGGTTCCAGAACCCCCCCCACGTTTAGAGGCCATATTGATTTAATCTGTGCAATAGGTTGGGCGGCCAAGTAACATCGGTCAGGCGCAACCCATCATCGACCAGCTGGCAGAGGAGGCACGTGCCTACAACCGGATCTACGTAGCGTCCGTCCACCCGGACCTGTCGGACGACGACATCAAGAGTGTGTTTGAGGCCTTCGGACGGATTAAATCGTGCACGTTAGCTAGAGACCCCACATCAGGGCGACACAGGGGCTTTGGCTTCATTGGTGAGCTGGAAGGCGCTCGTTCTCTCATCCTCCTGTGTTGCTGATGCCCTGCTGCTGACTTCTTTTTTTTCTGCATTTACTTTTAAATCCATCCAACAGAGTATGAAAAGCCTCAGTCGGCTCTGGATGCGGTGTCCTCTATGAATCTTTTTGACCTGGGTGGTCAGTACTTGCGAGTCGGCAAAGCAGTGACTCCACCGATGCCCCTATTGACCCCCACGACTCCGGGTGGGCTGCCACCTGCTGCGGCTGTAGCTGCAGCAGCAGCTACGGCTAAGATAACGGCCCAGGCAAGTATAAATCCCTTCCAAAGGGATTTAATGGCCTTCAAGGTAAATATACCTCAGATCTAGCTAGATTTGATTCAGGGACAGATGAGAGGAGAGTTTATGGGTCAAAAGAAGGCAGAGGTAGTTTAGTAAGCCAAAAAGGATTTGAACTCGGCTGCAATTCATGTCAGTGTGTTATTTTTTGTTTTGTATTTTTAAATCAGTTTTATATTTCCTTTTGTTTTTTTAAAGCTACTCCTTGTTTGATGACTTGATGTAGCATGTAAACACCAGCGGTTCGTGATGATTTGTCACTTATTACAACGCTAGAATGAAAAGTTTGTCACCGACATTTTGACCCTAATTGGAGAAAAGGTTGAGTTCACTCTTTGCCATGTGGTTTGATTTTCACTGTGTTGCTTTTCGCTGTGTTCTGTTTGTTTCCCTTACTTAATGTGTTGGCCCCCCTCCCACCTTTCTTAAGGAGGCGGTAGCTGGTGCATCAGTTTTGGGGGCTTTGACAGCACCACAGCTTCTTGGACCACAGATAGGATTACCTCAGGCTGTTATGGCTGCACAGGCTCCAGGTGTTATCACAGGTATGCACATGCTGTTTTTACACCTTTGTGGAGCCCAGTTATGTTAAGTTTTAACAGTATTTTTGGACAGCTGTACGTAATAAACACTTTATCTCTGACTCCTTGACAACAGTGGATGAAACGCAGTACAGAGAAAATGATTCTCCATCAAATTTATACTTTTTTATTTTTTTCTATAAAAAAACAGTTTTCAAAAAGATATTTAATGAAATGGTAAAATCCCTTAAAAAAATAAAAACATGCACTTCCTCTCTTTCCTCCTTTCTTTTAAAGTGGATTTTTACAAACCTTACCCAGGCCAGAGAATTACCTGGCCTTCATAAGAAACTTTAAATTGCATCAAGAAACCTGTAAGAGTAAAGTTAGAAATAAATAAATACCAAATAATCTCAGCACTTCAGTCAAGAACAGACGACTTGGCGTGGCGGGTAATGCTTGTATGGCTCATCTTGATGCTCTATTTCATTTTTCTTTGTGTTTTTCTTAAATACAACCACCATCAGCTTTCAGTCTGGATGATTCTTGATCCCAAACTGACCCACAGGCACAGAGGGGTAATGTTATTATACTGCAGCGTACAGAGGGAGCTATTAATACCATTACTAGAAATGTCTAATAATACAGATTGGTTTGGGGAAAAGAAAAAAAAAATGGTGGGTACTGGTGTCCCGGTTATTATACGAGTACTATGATGAACAAGTATTATATTTTAAAAAGACAGTATGGAGAAGGTAAGAAAAAAATATGACTATTAATTGGCCTTAAAGAGAATATTTCCTACTGGGACTGCTTTTGACAAAAATCTAAATTCCTAATATTTGTAACCAATATTGTGATTTACCCATCTTGATAATCATCAAAACATCCTGGGATATATTTAGTAGACTGTCAATGATTATTATTTTAAAACGTATGTTACAACACTATTTAGAGAAAAGAGCATCTAACAGTGTTCAATCATCAGGGATGTAGTGGTAGTCTGGTGCTACTTTGCTTTAATTACTATAAATGATTGAACTCTAAGCTTTCAAACTCATGAAATTATGTAAAACGAGATTGATCAAATATAAAAACTAAATAAAACAAAGTATTTTATCTAAAACAGGTCAGTCTGGTTCAACAAGCATATAACAGAAGAAATCTCCAGTGGAGATGATAGTTTATTCAGTGCTGTGATTTGATAGTTTGCTCTCTCACATACAGTCTCAGATTTTCATGGGGGATTTTATTTAATTCAGGTATTATAATGGAGGGGAAACTATTTTTTTTTTCTCATTTCTAAAACATTTGATCCTTCAAAAATAAATTAAAACTGTTTCTTATGTTTCTTACTAGCTTCTGGTGGCATTTTCACTATTAAGGAGGGTCTCTGATTGGCGTGTAAATCATGTGACCTCCTGATCAAATTCTTTAGGCCAGTTTAATGTTAAGCTTCACTGTGGTAATAGAGAAATGGGAGCAAAAAAATGCATCAGGCAGTTTATTGAAAACTTTTAACTGGAAGTTGCTGATAAAAAGTTTAAGACGGCCTTAGGGTGTGATTCAGCGGCGCAGTGGTTAGCGCGCACAACCCACGTACGGAGGCCATAGTCCTTGACATGGCCGACCCAGGTTTGAATCCAACCTTTTGTCCTTTGCCGCATGTCTCTCCCCTACCCCCTCTCCTGTCGGCTCACTGTTCAACAAACGAGCCACTAGAGCCATAAAACCTCAAAGAAAAAGAAGAAAAGACAGCCTTTATAAGCCAAAATTGGCGTTCTGTGTTTTTGGTGAATTATTCATGCTGTTAAGACCTGGTGGTAAATGCAAATAATGCTCGCTGACTATGAAGCTGATGGCATTGTTGGGCTGCAACAGCTCAGTATGGTGGCCTTTTTTTAATTTTTCGTATTGTTTAGACCTAAAAAAAATAATTGAATTGGGCTTTTCCCATCCTCCATCAAATCCATTCCTGTTAAGTGCAGCCAAATAATCATCACCTGGCGTCTCAGAGCAAAGAGCTTCAAACACAGGTCTTTGAAGGCTGTCTCCTCTGTCATATAATTGCCTGTTTGCATTTTGCAAGGGAGAAGCAAACATGGGATATGTTTAGGTGCAAAGGTTTATGTAACCTTGATGCCTTTCAACATTCCTGGTATAAAGAGGAGATCCCACCTTAGACAGCGGCGTCAAAAAGGCAGCTTTCCATCTGGAGATGTTTCAGTAGGCGTTCTTCATGTCTGAGGTCTCGGTACACAATACCCACCTAATAAAGGACTTTTTCCAGTAGAGTAGCGTCTCTTTTGGGCCATCCTCCCTGTTTCTTGATCTAATTCCACTGAGAACACTTGGGAACGGATTGAGAGGAAAGTTCACAGGCCTTTGTGAAGCCATCTTCAACACTCGTTCTCATTATCCTCCTGGAGACGCTTGCATCAAACATGCCTGAACAGCTTTAAGCCAGAAAGGGTGGAGCTGCTGCTCATTTACAAGTCCTTCTTTGATTTCTGTGTTTAATGGCTTTCCATTTTCTTAAAGCTATTAATCATTTTATGGAAAGCCTTTTTCAGTTAAGGTGTTTTCTATAAAGTACCCACTAAAAAGCTGTACTTATAAAAGCATCAAATGGGACAGAATCCTATTTCTTGTCATTTTTAACTGGGCTGAATATTTGAATCAGGATTGTATAGGTCATATATTAACCTGAACTGCATAAGATTTCTGATCTGAAATGATCTGAACTTGGTCAGCATGTTTGTTCACTAAGGCTCATTTTACATCATAATGAAGAGAAGCATCCACCTCATGGTTTTCATTAATTACAAGATTTAAATAAATCAGTTTAATCTCTTAGATCTTCTCCGTGTTCTGTAAAGACCCCAAAGTTTCTGCTTAATCCAGTTGATTAAGTGGAAAATTGTATCAACTTATCTTATGAAGCCCTAGATGTTGTATGGTGACTCATTGAACTCATGGTTCTCTCTGCTTTGTACCGTTATCACACAAACACAACACTGAAAAACCCCGTCGAACAGTAGAAGCGCTAAGCATGAACTTTTTCTACTTTTTTATGTAAAGCAGTTATTAACTTCATTCTTCTCCAATCTAAAATTCATACATCTTCAAAAATGTGCTCAGTATGTCAGTTGTATCCTTTTGTTTTTGAGTTTATATGAAAATTGGTAGTTTTATAGCACAAAAACACACCTTAAACATGACACTTAAAAGATGAGTTAAAAAAATGTAACATTTAAAAGCAGTCATAGCAGTATCCAAATAAATGCTTAATTTGTTGAAAAGCCACAGTAAATGGGATACAAATGTTCCATGGAATAGAACAGATTTGGAGAAGATGCAGACATTCCCAAATATGGCTCATTTCTGTCATTTAAATTGACACACATCATTGCACACTGCTATTGTTTTTTCTTCTTCTTTTAAACTTTTATCGATTTGATCACCTTTTTTTTTTTTCTTGTTTCCAATGGCTAATGTTTAAACTGTCTGTTTTTAATCTACACACTGCCTTCATTGTAAAGGTGTGACTCCAGTTCGTCCTCCCATACCGGTGATTCCCCAAGTTGGTCTAGTGAACCCGGTACTCGCATCACCTCCTGTGCTGTCTAACCAAGCTGGTGGCTCAAACCAACAAGAGAAGAAGGAGGAGAAAGAGGAGACGCTTCAGGATGGTACAGGCCAGGAGATGTTAAGTGACCAGGAGCACATGAGCATCTCGGGGAGCAGTGCCAGGCACATGGTGATGCAGAAGTTGCTCCGAAAATCAGAGGTGACATACGCTTGTGTCTGCGAGTCGTTTGTAACAGAAATTATTTTTGTACCGACTGATTTCTTTTCTCGTTTCAGTCCACGGTGATGGTGCTTCGGAACATGGTAGGACCAGAGGACATCGACGACGACCTGGAGGGCGAGGTGACGGAGGAGTGCGGGAAGTTTGGCGCGGTCAACAGAGTCATCATTTACCAGGAGAAGCAAGGGGAGGAGGAAGATGCAGAAATCATAGTCAAAATCTTTGTAGAGTTTTCGGCGGCCTCTGAGATGAACAAAGCTATCCAGGCCCTGAATGACCGCTGGTTCGGAGGTCGCAAAATCGTCGCAGAAGTGTATGACCAAGATCGTTTTAACAGCAGTGACCTTTCTGCGTAACGTGTTAGAAATGGCTTACCAGCACCCGTATCATTCACCTGTCACCAAAAGTCATTTCAGCCATCCTTCTCTGCAGCTAGAAGATGCGGGGTTCTGAAACCTGTAATTATATTTTTATTGTCATCTTTTTTTCAAATTGCTGTTAATAATATTAAAGTTCCATTGGGGGGGGATTTAAATAAAATCTTTGTCATTTTTTAATTTTTCTTTCCTGCTTTATCTGTAAAAACTCCCGTTTGGTGCAAGTTTCAAATTTTTGTAATCTGATCTTGTACTATGTTTAGTTGTTTTTTTTTTTTCTTTTTTTTCCTCCTGCTTAGCTCCTTTGTTATGTTTTTAAATTGCCGGGACATGTAAAACACTTTTTTCTTTCTATGATTAAAGGTTATCGTTTGTCCACTAAAAAGTTGTTTTTTTGTTTGTTTTTTTTACATTCAGTACAAAAAAATCCTGTATTTATTTGAAAGATAATAGAACTAAAATAAGCATTTTAAAAATATTTTGGTGTTGAAAGTAGTTTTTGGTATATTAAATTTTTGGGAGGAGGGCATCATCTAGAAAAATTAACCATGTTGATTTAAAATTGCCATCCATGGGTTTTCAACAAATCCTGCATATATATATTTTGATTGTTGAAAGTCAGCCTAGTAAAAAGGTAATTTTAAGATATAGTCCATAATCTTTACCTGACTTTAAGATAATCCTTCACTGATAGATTTGAGGGTCTTCTTGAAATGGACCTTCTAGACTACGGGTTCTCAAAGTGGGGTCACAAGATAGTTTTTTAGTTATATGGAAGACCAAAATCTAACGATAGGCAAAAATGTGTCAGAGACAAATGGTTTACCTTAGAGTATGTGGATTTAATGTGGTTTTTATCTGATGATATAAATATGCCTTTAGTGTATAATGCACATTTCAATTTCTCATTAAATGATTTTTTTTTTTATCGAAAATGAATAAATGTCAATTAAAAAATACAAAGATGAAGTTAATTACTTGACTTTACAAGTGTATTAATAGATGTAAAGTATATTTTTAGGGGGTAGTTTCTCTTGTTCTTGGAGTCGCCGACTGAAATGTTTGTTGTAGAAATTATTTAAAATGTAATGTTCCCAACGCTTGAAACAATACAAGCAGGAATGAAAACCTATTTTACTTTTGGTAATCAAATCCCTCTTTTTATAAAAATAAATGAATAAAAAAAGATAAATACTTTACACTTTACAATACAGCACTATAACTGCAATACCTTGTGCAATAACTAATGTGCAATCACTATATATATATATATATATAAATATAAATAAATTACCTATTTATATAAATACCCTGTGTAATACTCCTGTTAAGAGATTTCATTTGTTGTGTGTATATATATATATATATACACTCACCAGCCACTTTATTAGGTACCCCATGCTAGTAACGGGTTGGACCCCCTTTTGCCTTCAGAACTGCCTCAA